AAACAAATCAAAACAAAGCAACAACAACAACAACATCGACAACAACAAAACTAATTTAAAAAATAAATAAGAAACAAACGAACAAACAAACAAAAACTTAAAAGCAAAAACAAAAAGGAATGTTTTTAAATATAGAAGAAAGACATCTAATTTTCTTTCATTTTCTTTTCTCTGGGACATATGGTCCGGTTATGACACATCTGTCATCACACAAACAAAAACAAAAGATTGTAATAATGGTAAGGGCTCTACACCCCCATTAACTTAATTCAACTCATATAATTTTAAGATGCAGTCTGCTTCTACCCTGTCTGTTAGGGCCAACCCAGGCTGAGGGGGATACATCGTCGTCTCCGCGGACAGACGGGGTGGGCCCGATATAATGATTTTCCTCTTACAGAAACTGAGCTCTCGTCTTCTGTGTGCAAATATATATAAAACCTTTTCTCTACACCTCAGACACTACGCGTCGGTGTCTCAAACTACACTGTAGGCCTACTTGAAACCTTCCTGTTACCGTCACCTGTGGGGTAGCTGTCCGACGTTTCGCTCTCGCATGCAGGAGATCCGATTTCGATTCCAGAAGGATTTTTATCGTGTATCTTTATATTTCTGCTTGGATGTCGTATCCCTCTTAGTCCGGGTTAGTCCTGACAGGCAGTGCTGGACGCCCGCCTCCTAAATGATCTAAATTGAGTCGATGGGGGAAAGAAAACACCTACATTAAAAACAAATTCAGTTAGTCGTCTCTGGTGTTATTGTCTTGACAACAGTATCTTCCTACATGAATACATAACTTGAGTCATACACAGAGTAGTGACAGTATGAACAGTTGTACCTTCTCCAACGGCCACCTGTACAAACAATCACTTCTCACTTCCCCCCTTGTGTTTTTAAATATTAAAATGACACTGTCCTGAAAGTTCACCAGTCTAAAACAACCCCTTTTCTCCTCGACAGTGAGTCGGTCTTGGATAATTTCGACTGTATTAAAAAAAAACTTTAAAAAAACTACATGGTTCCCTTTTTTTTAAACACCGTTTTTTTTCCTGAAACAACATGAGGTACATACTGCTTTCGTACCTTACTACAACATGCGCCAGAAATAGACTAGCAGTACATATTATATGAGTCAAGAACCACGAATGCTTCCTTTTTCAATGATTCATTGTTATAGAAACAGCCATCTGTCCGCTGACATCAGATTCGTCTTTCAGGAAAAACCTGTCTTTTTGCTTTCTTTGTCACGTTTTACCGACTTACAATGAGTGGTCCACATTCCTATCAAATAACTCGTTGAAGGTTGTTTACCTCAGAGTGACTCGAAACCCTAACTGTGATCTTTATATCTTTCTTCCTGTTTTACACATCGTTCCGTTTGACCGCACACTTGTCACCCCAATACATTATCCGGCTTGGTTTTTTCTCCTCCTCTTAATATATCAATGCTCTTTACAGACTTGCCATCAAAGGAAAGGAGTCATAACAGTGTCATTTTGACAACAACTGTCCCCTCGAACCCGACGGTAAAGATGTCTTAAATATGTGAAGAAGACACGAGATAAAATGGATAAAAATCAGTGAAAGAAAAAATAATAGGTAGAGACGTAGATCTAGCAAGCTGGTGTCCGAAGGCCGGTGCGGAATGATTAATGAACGGGGAGTTGCGCGGCCCTGGATCGTCATATGTCAGGGTTACGATGTATGAACCTTACCTTTTCCCGAGCCCAAAAGCTCCAGAAGCTGTGAGTCTGAAGGAATCTTAAATCTTATCGCTTGTTATCTGGATGCTTGTTGGTCCATTTCCTCAGATGACCGAGGGGGGGGGGGGGGGGGGGGGGGGGGGGGGGGGTTAGGGTTCTGGGCAAGGTGTGTAGCTTTAAAAAGTTTGGTTAACCGGCGCGTGACTCTAAGTAAGGTCAGTCTGTACGGGAATAAGAATGTTTTTTTTCTCTTGACTTAGCTATATGAATCCGCTCAGGATGGACATAAAAGGCAGGCCTGGATATTTACGAGATGCTGTGGTCGCATGAGACAAAGCAACGGGGATCTTCCCACGATACGATTCGCTTTTTAAGGCCACTTGCACTAAGCATAGGACCATGGGGTATCTGTTAGAGTAAGTTAAATACACAAAGAAAAGCACCTAATGTACTAAAATCTCTTACATATTAGACTGGTACATTATAATTATAAATTTCTGCTTCTCTTTTCTTATGCAGAATATAACATAATTAACTTTTGTTGATCTTATCTTTTCATTTATGTGCCTATATGTTTCTGATGGGAGCTAGGGAATGAGGAGTCAACGTACCGTTAGCTCTTTTGAGGCGACTATAACTTGCCAAAACGACCTCTTTATTTACTTGTCATGAATACCTTAGTAGATGGAATAACACGCAAAACAAAAACAAAACAAGAGACCCCCCCCTCCCGCATACACACGCACACACAAATCCCCCTGAAACCGAACAACGTTCTGTGTACATAATTAAAAGAAAAAAGTCACTGGTATAATATTGCATAAGACATTCACGAGTATAATATAAGGAGGCTGTCAACGGGTCGTTGTCTTCCTTAAGCGCATAAATCGCTTCTGAGCACGTTTAGAGCACGTTTATGTTTTCGCGTTTAAGTAAGGTACTGCGAAACATTTGTCATGAATTGTAGTGACGTCACGAGGATAGGTGTGACCTGGTCCATTAACGCCAAAGTTGGCGAGAATGACCTTTCGTCTTGAGTGAAGGCCGGACATGACCAACAAAAGAATTCTTTTTTAAAAAGCGGATGAGGAAATCGTGGGTAGGGTGTACTATTCCGCAGTTTGCGTTACCATTCATCCGTACTGCTTTGAGCTCAATATTTCTGTTTTATTGCTGCTTATGACATCAATTTAGTCCATCTTTATCTTTATTCCTTTTTGCCTCTGTCTATGCCCCTGCCTCTCTCTGGTTCCTAATCTCCATATCTCTTTCTTGATCCAATCCCCCCGGTCAGTAATGAAGAGCCACTGTCAGTTACATTCACCTTAATCAAATATGTATACAGGTATAAATTAGAAACCTTATTGTATTTTTCAAGGTTAACCATCAGAAATCTCGTCCATCAATTTAAAGTCTTGATCTTTGGTGAATTGATTACGCTCGCCAAATAAACCAGGATTAAATGTCTTTAAATGGGGCTTTTGACCTCTGGGCAAGCGCTTTCCAAGAGAACAGTTTGTTACTTTTTGGGCGTTTGTTTTTGGAGTATTTAAAGATTATTATTTATCTTTAGTGCGCTTTCTCTGCCTTTGTGATTTTCCCCCTTTCTCTTGCTTGTTGGGGGCATAAAGAGCTGCATCACTGTCAGTCAGTGTGACAAAGGAAACGCTTTGATGTGTTCTCTGTCAAGTGTAATAATAGGTTGCGTGAGGCGGGTAAATACGAGTAGCAGCTTACTAATAAAAACATATTAACCAATGCTCTTAAAATGGCATTTGAAAAGCAGTTGCCCTGGGGTTAACTTGCCTGTCATATTTCTTTCTGAAACAGCTACTGTTTCGGTTTGACCTAATGCTCGGTCGTGAAACAAGTTTTAGAAAAGGGTTTGGGGCGAAGGTGGGGCGCATTGAAAGTGTCAATTTATACATAGTGAATAGTTCTACTTCAAGCTTATTCTGGTTACTGGACTGCACAATCTTATTTTATTTCAGGTGTGGCACGGACACAAGCATCACGAACTCCACAGGGATGACAGCGGAAGACATTCTGCTACAGGAGAAGCCAGTGGGCCACGAGGAGATGCTGCACTGGTACTGCAAGTTCAAGCCTGGTGGGTTCATCTCTTGGGTAGTAGTGGTAGTAGTAGTGGTAGTAGTGGTAGTGGTAGTGGTAGTTGTAGTGGTAGTGGTAGTGGGGGGGGGGGGGGGAGGGGGGGGGGGGGGGGGGAGAAAGAGAGAGAGGGGGGAGGGAGTGTGTATGTGTGTGTGCGTATGTGTGTATGTGTGTGTGCGTATGTGTTTGTACGTGTGTGTGTATGTGTGTGTATTTGTGTTTGTTTGTGTTTGTGTGAGTATGTGTGTGCGTGTGTGTGCACGTGCGCGTCGTGCGAACTTAACAAGTGTCAAGAGGACGTGGACGAGGACGAAGACGAGGAGGAGGATCATTATTATAATTATTGTTGTTGTTGTTGTTATTATTATTATTATCATTATTATCACCATCAATATTATATCTAATTTCAGGGTTATGGTGCGCATTACGGGAAGAGAAGCCAAACAAGAGACTGATAGAGAAACTGCTCCAGTCCTGGTGTAGACTGACGACAGTGAAAAACGGACATGTCATCAACATGAAAGTTCTGATACAGCATGACATGAGAAAAATGAGCCTGCTTCGGGTTAGTACCAGTTGTAATGGTGACAAAAAATGAATAATGATTAACATAATGGTGATTTTATTGTTAGCAACAACAACAATAACGTATAATAATAATAATAATAATAGTAATAATAGTAATAATGATGATGATGATGATGATGAT